GAACAGATTAGAGAGCGAAAAGCCTCTTACATTGCTGTGGGAGCATCTCTTAAGCTTTCTTGTACCATTTTGTTACATGACTGGATGTTAGTTATTTTACAATAATCACGAATTTGATAATACCATTTCCGTAAAGCTGTAATGCTGCTTAATAAGTGCCTTAGTATCCTAACTTCGCTCCAATAAAATTCTCTATTTAATACATGTAACTGTATTGACTATACTACAGTACTTGGAATCAGCGGATGACCTGCTTTGATGTCTTTTTTCTGTATGAGATTGGCAATATGTTAGCACTCAGGGGTCGTTTGGTTCGAAGACAAGTTATACGGGGATTGTAATGCAGGGATTAGTTATGCAGGGATTAGTAATACATGGATTACCTCTTGTTGGGTGTTGGCTTTATTGCACAAAATTGGATGTAGAAGTTATCATTTAAAAGATTTGTTTTTTTTTAAAACTAAAAAGCAATGAGTTTACAATTATACCCTTGGATGCTTGACCTTCATTGGCTTCTAGGAAAAAGACAAGGGTACTTTTGTCCTTTTGGTGCTTTATCCATATATGAGTTATACATGGATAAGTCATTCCATGTTGGTGGTATATGGTGTATTAAGTTATGCATGATTCGAATTACAAACCAACCATTGGTTTAACTTATACCAAATTATATACCGTGATTATTTTCCATATACATCATACTGAATGACCCTTCAGTGTTCTCTGTTCTCCTGCAGTTAAAATTTATTTATACCAATGTAATTTTTGCTTCACTAATAACTGTTTGTTGTATCTTCTTAAGAGTAAGCCTTGAATGATTGAATGCAGTGTTATTCAACAAGCACAGAAGTTTTTCATGGAGACAAGTGATACAAATGATACTAGAAATGTAAGGACCTATTGGATTTGTTAGTGTCCTTCAATATATTTTGTTTCTTTTGATGAAAGTAATTATTGTTAGTCTCAATTGATATAGTAATTTTGTTTATTGCTTCTTGGCAGATGGGCTTCCAATTTGCTGGTAGAGCTGTGTATACTGCAGTCTGGGTCGCAGCTGCGTCATTGTTCATGGAGTTGCTAGGTTTCTCTACACAGAAATGGTTAACAGCGGGAGGACTTGGTACTGTCTTGCTGACACTTGCTGGACGTGAGGTCTGTTTCTCAGTTTATCTTGCTGTAACCAATATTCAAGCTCATCTTCGTCTAGACATGGAAAAGGCAGTTTATAGTTTATAGTTTATAGCTCTTGTTCGAGTTTGATGAAGATGGTGATGCAATTACTCTTGTGATTTTGTTGTTGTCAGATATTCACCAATTTTCTTTCAAGCATCATGATCCATGCCACGCGTCCATTTGTTCTTAATGAATGGATTCAAACCAAGATTGAAGGCTATGAAGTTTCTGGCACAGTTGAGGTATGAAGTATGAACTTGCTCTTGAGGGAAAACCCTGCTTTTAATGTTTGAGATCAGAAGAATGAATGAGCTTTTTCCTCTAGCATTCTCTTTTAACTTTACCACGACTCATACAAATTTCGATATTGGTTTTCATAGCATGTGGGCTGGTGGTCCCCCACAATCATAAGAGGCGAGGACCGAGAAGCTGTTCACATACCAAACCACAAGTTTACAGTTAATGTTGTCAGAAATCTGACTCAGAAAACTCATTGGCGTATTAAAACTCACCTAGCCATCAGTCATTTGGATGTCAGTAAGATAAATGTGAGCATTACTTCATTCTCATCTCCAACATAATATAGTGAAATAAGTTACACTATTGATGTTTGACTTCAATGCTATCATGACTTCTTTTCTGTAGAATATTGTAGCTGACATGCGCAAAGTTTTGGCGAAGAATCCCCAAGTTGAGCAACAGAGGTTGCACAGAAGAGTATTCCTGGAGAATGTCAACCCTGAAAATCAAGCCCTGTTGGTTAGTGTCAATATTTGAGGATTAACATGCTGTGACTTTTGGATGGATTGTCGTTATCAGTGCAAATGCTGCTGCTTTAGTTACCTGTTTTTCTGACCAGTTTGTTTTGGAAATGATCTTGGGTACTAAATTCTTTTCTCTCGAGTTTAAGAGTACCGGTCTGCTTCCAAATTTACTTTTTTTAGAGTAAATTTGGTTTTCCATACCCCGTGGCTCTGCTGCTTTGGTTCTTTCCTGATATAAGGGGCTAGAATTGTATCTTGATTGAAGTTGGTAGACTGTTTTGACGAAGAAGTAGGGCTGTTTATACTTCCAAATTAAATGTTTCTATTGCAGTTCCCAAATAGGATGCATAGAAAGAAAGCATAATGTGTAAACTCAAGGCAAACTAATTTATGCCAACTTACTGAAGACTTGTGCTTTATGGTTATCAGTGAGACTATCTATAAGTGCACCGTACCTCAAGACCAATTTACCTTGAGTGTGTGAATATTATCGAATTGATGGCCTTTCCATTTGCTAGTCACCCTGCTTGCCTGCTTTCTATGAGCTATCACTTTGGGTTGTGGCTAACCCATCCATTTGGCGTATGACACCAATGGTTGTTTGCATGTGTGTGTGTGTGTGTGTGTGTGTGTGTTTATATCGGTTCGGTAAGTGAGAGACTCAGAAACACTCAAGGACAGGGCCATTTGTGCTGTTCGAGATGTTCTCCGTTTCTGTTTGTCTCTTTCAGTCTCTCTCTCTCTCTCTCTCTCTCTCTCACACACACACACACACACAAAATGCTGCTTGACATTCTTGAAATGTTATTCAGTTGGTGGTTCTTTTTCACTCTTAAATATCTGCTTCATTTTTTTGTGCAGATCTTGATATCCTGCTTTGTCAAGACGTCACACTTCGAAGAATACTTGTGTGTCAAGGTGAGGGAAGATCCTGCTACAACTTAATTTTTTTTTCAGGAATTCTCTATGCAAGAATTTCTATAATCCAGAGTATTTTGTAAAACAGTAAAATGATCCATCCTCAATTTGCAGTCACTGTTTTCTGTAACTTTAGTATTTCAACAGTAAAATGATCCATAACCCTCCCATCCCCGTTCCCAAAAAAGTCAAGTAATTGATGAAATGAAAGTTGGAACCTGCTTGTTAAGTGGTCATTTAATTTCAGGAAGGATGCTTCTTTATTGCTAGTCGGTTTTGTTTGGAGATTTGCTCATTTAGATTTGACTTTTTCTTTTTTCTTGGATGATATTAGGAAGCTATTTTGTTAGATCTTCTCAGAGTCATTCGTCATCACCGAGCTCGGCTTGCCACTCCCATCCGTACGGTTCAGAAAATATATAGTGATGCTGACTTGGAAAACATACCATACGATTCTGCCTTCAACCGTGGAGCAGCATCAACTCGTCCATTGCTACTGATTGAGCCATCTTATAAGATCAACGGGGAAGATCGCACTAAAGCTCGACCGATTCGTGTGAATGGCGAAGAAGACACCAAGGAAAAGGCTACCACGAAATCGGCACCTGATAGCAAGGTTGAGACGAAGAGCGGACCTGCATCTGATCCTAAAGTCAAAGAAACAGTTCCAGCTAACTCTCATGGTAAAGATGTGTCAATTTCTGACTTGAAACTTGATCCCAAAGTTGACAAAGTGGCACATGCTGAAACCAAAGATGACCTTAAAACACCGTCTGATCCAAAACCGAGTAAGGTGACAGTGAAAACCACCTCAAAACCTATCTCCAAAGCTGATTCAAAGTCTGCAGAAGCACCAACTATTGATTCCAAAGATCTCTCAGAGAACAGCTCTAGCAACAAGCAAGTTAAGAGAAATACAGTTGATAATTCTGCAGCTTCTCCATCATCAGATGTGAGAGAGAAAACAGGCGGTGTCTCATCTACTTCTAAACGAGAGGATGAAAGGCTAGCAGCTACACAACCATCTGTATCATCAAAGCCTGCATTGGAAGAAAACATTGTTCTTGGTGTTGCTCTTGAGGGTTCGAAGAGAACTCTTCCAATTGAAGAAGAGATGTCGCTGCCATTAAATCCAACGGAGTCCAAAGAATTGGCTACTAGCCGTAGTAGTAATGCTTCTACCATTGCAGAGAAAGATAAACAAGATGGGCAGCGTTCAAATCGTCCTAATTCTGCAGCTCCCGATCAATCAGGCAAAAGGCCCTCTACTGGCAATTGACCCTGCCTGTGTTTTCACTAACCCGTGTGAAACTAATTCTTAGTCATCAATACCAGATTTGATGCTATATGGTACATTGAGATAGTTGTCTCGATGTCCATGATGGTGAAGTTTTTAGCCTATCACTCCAGTATAAAAATGGAGAAATTAGAACTTACTCATGTTAGTTTGTAGTGGTTGTGGATGTATGTATTATATTTATTAGTATGTCTCCAGTTTGACACTTCCAGTAGCAAAATTTTTGGCCATTGGCCAGCTCGAACAACTTCTATAGGAGTTGTGACATTCTCATTTATGCTGGTTAACAGCAGAAATACACATTGCTGCATTTGGGTGATGTATCTCTAACCAAATATCCTTCAAGATAGTCAACAGCTGGTCTGCACAATCTTTGTATTTCACCCTTAACCAAGAGTTTTGAATTTGGATATTTATTGTCTCGGATTTGAGTAAAAATTTGAATTATTCTGGCCAGTAAGTCTTACATACCAGATCATTAGAAAAAATAAAACCTCTCTTTGCATTTGTTCTGAGAATTATTTACACACCTTGAAAAGAAACAATTGCAGTGTTTTGTGGTTAGTGGTTAAGCAGGCTCGTATTTTATATGTGTTTATTCCTTTCGCTTCGATTGATCTATCACCTTTGCTTCTTGTCATTGCTACTTATGTTTCTGCTTCTTCCTCATTTTGTGTTGAACCAAGGGTGTTTCGAAAACAACCTCTGGGGCAAGATCTGTGCACACTCCACCTCCCTAGACTCCACTTCCACTTTCTGAGATTACTCTAAATTTTGTTATTGTTGAGACTTGCCCTCGAAGTGGAAACTGAACTGATGAAATTTAAGCAGGACATTAAATCAATCAATTAAGTAAAAATACAATATACTGGCTGCCATTTGATAATTATCGACCTCTACATACCAAAATGAAACACCCTTTAAAATAGTCTACAGAACTGACATACATAGTAAAATATCTTTAAACTAGAATACTACTATCTGTATATGCACTCTTCATAGGAGTAATACATATATTGTACACATATTCCACCCCTAAAGTAAAACTCACGTGGTAACACATAAATACTCCTATAAGTAAACAAAGGGGTGGCATCTTATTTAACTATTACATAGGCATAATAAACAATAATTTGAGGTCCAAACAATACAGATCTATATTAAAATCTCAGTAGTAACTTTCAAGCTTGGCACATGCAATCAGGAGCAGGATATGTATAAAGGGATTGCTTTGGTTTGCGAAGTCTAATTTGCCCTTGTCTGTTTTTGTGGCCTTCAACTACTGATTCTTGAAACTCAGGCCAAGTCAGTGTCTTATTCAGGAATAGCTGGCCTAATAATGCCATGTTTGGCCTTATTGTCTTCATATTGTTGTATGTTCTATGTCCCACCTGTCATTTCAATGTGTATTCATTAGCTCTGGACCACATGGGATACAAAAATATAACATAATGTGAATAGAAACAAAATTTGGGTTTGATTGGGAGAGTATACAACCTATACGCGTGTTTGACGGGACACAAGGTATAAGGGGAAAAAGTTGGACTTTTGCACATACCAAAAGTACCCTTAGAGATTTTGGTTTTAAAGGTGCCACGACATTTCTATGATTATAGGAGTAGATCAGTAACGGTAAAATAAGAAGTTTAAAGTTAACGAGTTTTCAAAAACAGAATAGACCAAAAAGAAGAGAGAATGATATCAAATGTAACATAGGGAGTAGTAATTCTTGGTTTACCAAATAGATTCTTCATCAGCAGCTACTTCTAGTATGGTAGTCTTTTGCCTTAGATTGCTAGTATTTTATGATGATTTCCTATTTTCTCCCGCTTCGGTCTCTTAGCACCTTGTTGTTGTTACTGCTTCTTTCCATTTAATTTTCTGGCTTTGAGATTGTTGTTATTATCTTTCTGGCCCATTTGTTGACACTACTTGTTTCTACTGTTTTTTTTTTATCTTTTTTGAGCCGAGGGTCTACCGGAAACAACATCTCTCTACCTTCCCAAGGTAGGGGTAAGGCCTGCACACACTACCCTCCCCAAACCCCACTTGTGTCCCCAAACCCCACTTGTGGCATTCCACTAGGTTGTTGTTGTTGTTGGGGTCAGCTACTTCTAATCAAACATGTTAATATTTGGGACACTAACTTAAAGGTAATCTAGAGCTTTAAAAGTTGAAGTTGTTAACCAAAGAAGAACCTTCTTCAGTTAAAATCCAGCGGCATTGTATATGCACTTATCCCTTACATCTTGTGAAACAGACTCCTGCCGTTGCAGTACAGCAATTAAACTGAAACTAGAAGATGAATAGTTTAAGTGCTTACCATCGCGTTGTGCATATTTCCAGGGGAGGCAGAAACAAATATATCACTGTGCATGCCGACATAATAATCAACTGCAGCTAATAAGGAAGCCTTTCCTTTGATAAGAGCTCTTTCCTCAGAAGATGCAAGGCTCTTTTTGTCTTCCATCAGGGGAAACAAATTTCTCAAGGCCGAAATACGGCGTTCCCCGCCAAAAACCTAGAAAAAACATGAACAAAAGAAAAGCTTCAGAACACAAAAGATATTGGCTTTACTTCAAGTATTTTAGCACCTTAACGAAAGGCAGTATATTCTATAAATGCTTTCAGTGTTCACCTTATGGGAGGCAAGATATAGGCGAGTGCTGTTGTCGAATCCCAAAGCTGCCAGCAGCAAGCCAACTTCTTCTGGGGTCAATGGGCACCGTCCTTGACTCCTTAACTCTTCATCAGTAAACTGAGAGTTGATGACCCTTCCTCCCCAAATTACTTGCCGGTATTTAGCTAGAGCCAAATTTTCAGCCTTGCCACCACCAAAATCACAAGCTGAATGAGCTGCCATATCCTGGAGAATCACAAGTCAAATTTTAAATATCACATTTTAAGTGGAGATAAAATTGCCCAAGTACAAAATACAGAAAAAGAGAGTACCGAGAGAAAAAATTCATCAATAAATAAGTAGAGTATATATTGCCATTAACAGGCATAAAGGAAAAAACAATCTTTCAGGAAACTAGAAGTACTGATATTAAATCGGGAGATATTGCAGCATAGCTAGACAGTGCAATATTCCACTAGAATTCAGATAACAGTACAAAGGCAGGCGCTTTACCTTGTCGAAGCGAAGGTGGAGAACAGCAAACTTGCCTGCTCCTTGTTTGGGCTTAAGATCGGTAACTTCTCTGAGGTAGTTGTTACTAACCATGTTGCCTTCACTAGGAGGATTCCTGAGGCGATTGATAAGGGCATCCCCGAGATGTCTGACGTGAGGAACAAAGGCCAATGCTTGAAAGTTGACTTTACATCGTAGGTGTTGGAGGTATTTGGGCATGTTGTCGAATGTCAGCCGATGAGAAAATGGCGCTATGGCAGCAATTCCGTAACTGATCCATTTATAAAATATTAATATACTAAAATTAATATAGGCCACATGACTACCATACAACTAAACTAAAATAGAAATCGATCATGTAACTAACCTCTGTAGGACAGGTGAAACATTCTCTAAGTACCAATTTGCTGAAGCATGAACTGGAGCAGTCTTGATTCTTGTAGGTCGAATAGCTGTGCCATAATATTCTCGTGTGCTCCAAGCGAATTCATCTGGCAACTCTTTGACTATAGATACGTCGTCTTTCAATACATTGATGAAGTGATCCACATCAAATATATCCATGAATGAGCTGTAGGAAAGAGGAAGATAAGTTTGTATATACTTAAAATTAAAAGTTGAAACTAAACCAATATTAGCAATATACTAAAAATACCTTGAATCTTGCCAAACAGGATTTACTTCCAACTGAGGGATCACAAGTGTGGCATTCAGAATTTTGGCAACGACAACTGCATCGCAAATCTTTTCCAAGAAATATAGATGTCAGTAATGAAGGGTCAAATTCTATAACAGATGGAGTTAATCATTAAAGGAACTATCAACAAAGGAAATACGATACGCACCCCCATCCTCTGTTGATTTAGTCCTCCATCAAGGAACACTTGAACGTATCCCTCGGACTTTTCAGGTACTGCTGCAGAGTGCAAGGAACAGTAATTAGACATTAGAAAATTAGATAGCAAGATTAAGTTGATGCTCAACTGAGAGATTGCTCAACACAAGCCACGAAACTAGATGTAATAGAAGACGTGATCCATAGATACTCACTGGAGGCACCATCAGATTCGGTACAAGGTTTCCATCCTTGGTGCGCCAAAGGCGTCCAAAGCTCTGACTGTTCTTCATTGGACTAAGAAGAAACCAAGCAAGACACAAAAACTCATTGACAGGAGAACAGAAGTTAATTTAAGAGGAACAAGTGAAATGTGATAAATAAGGTCTTACGCACAGTTTGGCGTTGTAAAGCACTCTTCGCAAGACGTGAGTGCCTGAATTTTGGAGCATTCAAATCCTGCACATGCAAATAAGCTTATACAATCAAATTTCTCTCTAGAGTTTAAGTTAAACTAGATACATTGATCAGTCCAACTTCTTTCGTATTTGCTTAGATATTTATGTTCTCTTAGTTAGCCATGTTAGGTTCTATTCAGAAAAGTTTGCAGACCCAAGTTAGTTACCCCTTTAATCCTTTTATGTCGTGCATAAATTTAAGACCTCAGTCAAGGAAGCAACGGCAGAAACCACGGTATAGCATTAAACCAAGCTTTTCATTATCAAACTACTAACTGAGATTGAAGCCAAAACCATGGATAGAAATAGTTATTATATTGCTCGGTTCATCAGATTACAGGAAAAAATAATGATTATTTCCTTTTCTTTGGGCTAGGATATGCATCTCTGCGCGATGTATTTCCCAGAAAATTATGCTTTCTTCTCTTTGAAAGAGAAATATAATCATCTTGTACCAAACAGAATTTTATTAATATTATTATAGTTTTGGGAAATAGCAACATCTTCCACTGTGTTGATCTACCAAACAAATATATTTTATCCCAAAAATTAGATCTTTTCATTGACTAAAGAATTCTTCTATACAGACTGGACAGTCAACAGATCCAAACTTCACATTCCTGTAAACCATGCAGCAAGTGGCATGAAGATAGGCTTATACCGAAACAAACCATTAAACAAATAACACTTAACTAGTCCAAGTCAACAGATCCAACTCAATGACTCACCAAACCCTTCCTTAAACACAAATTAGTCAAATACTGCTAGATTTAGAAATTATACCAAAACAATAATTTTTTTGACAGTTACTGCTTCAACTTGATAAGGATTTTGATATCAAAAGATACTACTAAATCAGCAAAATCCACCTAACAAAAATTCAACTTTCTTTCCACAATGCTAATAAACAAAACCCCAATTTCCATATTCAGAAAATTTCCCCAATTGCCATATCCACCAAAAATTCAAGATTCATCCTTTCTTCCTCAGGTAGAAAAGTCCACTCCTTTAAACCTACATTATAAACTGTATGCCTAACTCTAAGATCTAAACCTTTTAAAACCCTACCCCCCCCCCCCCACCTACCCCTCTTTAATTGATTTTAAATGTTAAATGACAATTTTTATCAGAATTTCACATACCTTATTCTACAACCATTTTCACTTCAAGATTACATTTTTACTGCTATTTCCTTCACCCTCTTTCTCCATCTACTATTTGTAGTCAAATCTCAAAAGACCAACAAGAAAAAGGTACAGTAAAGCAACAACAAAGCTAAATAACTATGTGGGTAATTCATGAGAAAAGAGATACAAAATCTAAAGAAAAGATTAAAAACACAAAAGATTACATTTTTCTACAACCTGTTTCACATCAAGATTACATTTTTACTGCTTTTTCCATCACCCTTTTTCTCCATATACCATTTTTAAGCATATTAAAGAAAAAACACAGCTAAATAACTTTGTGAGTAATTAAAAAAAAAGAGATAAAAAATCTAAAGAAAAGACTAAAAACAAAAAAGAAAATTACCTTGAGAATGGTGGGGGAAGCGTGGCTGAAAATACTAGCAAAGAAAATAGGCAAAAGAAGCATAAAAACACCAGCTATAGCACCTCCTCTCATTCTCATGCTGCTGTTTCTGTTGATACAAAATTTGGCTCAACCCCTGATGAATTATAAAGCAAAATAAAGAAAAGGGGTTGGCTTAAAATGCTCAAAAGACGTTAGAAGAAAGGAATACAAGGATAAAAGAAGTCTTTTTTCAAGAAAGAGAGAAAGAAGAGGAGAAATAAAAGAATCAGTAGGAAGAGGAGTAAAGAGGGGCCATTATTATTATGAGCCTCAGTAGAAGCATCTCACATGGGGACACCAATCTCTTTATATTATCAATCAACAACAACACATATATCAAAGTATTGGAAAAAAAATAAAAGGCAGTCTGATACACTAAGCTATGATAAAGGTCTATCGGATCCAATCGAACTTGGATGTGCCAAAAAGATTGGACCACAAAAATTTATCGTACGCAGCCTAATTTGTAACCTCTAACTTTCAATTACTTTGTATTTTTATAAAAGGCTATAACAACTTTACTAATTATGCAAAATATCATTCCTTCGTCAAAGTAAAGGAAAGGAAATGTAATAAGACCAAAGAAGAATACAGCAGCTTACAGCTGCCACTGAAGTGAATTTAATTTACTGCTATAATAATATAATAGTATTAATAATTCTTGATTGTGAGGAGTAAATGCTGGGGGTGGGGTGTCTTTGTCAAAATGCAGAGACCCAATACAGGAAACAACGGATAGATTCATTTCACATCATAGGGAGAAAATAAATAAAGAAAGTAATAAGAGCACCGCTATGTACGTGGCAAGAAATGAGGTGGGGTATGAGTCTTTTTCTTGATTAGCTTTATCGTGAATGTCACAGATAGACACTGCTTTAATACTTTATTAGTAAAGATATTTGTGCTTTTAATGTGACTACTAATAATGCTGGCAATGGCAAATTGGCAATTAGGTGCCGAGCCACCGACACTTTGCTTTGCTACAGTTTTCTAATTTTTAGAGGAGGTTGCGTGGTGGGGTTTGTGTCACAACTCACGGAGTACTAAGATTTTTTTAGTGGTGAATAGGTTGAGGGAAGGCTTTTGAGCCCCTATTTTTTGGGTTCCCCATTCCGATATTTGGAAAGCTTTGGCGTAACTGTTAAAAATATTGTCATAAGATCAGGAGGTCATAGATTCGAGTCGTGAAAATAATCTCTTGCAGAAATACAATAAATTTTTACAATATTTGAAACGCATATTGAGATCCGATTAAATTTAGAGTCGCGTCCAAAAATCTCACATTGAAGAATTTCATAACCAAGACTCTAATCTAAAATCTCTAATTAAGAATATAGGACTACTTATTACTCCCTCCGATCCAAAATAAGTGATTTTTCCAGATTTCAAGAATGAATTAATTATTTTTTTCCTACATTGCCCTTGGAGTAAATAGTGTTGGAGTATGTGTTAGGAGTGTTTATATGAAGAGATAGTAAAGGGTAATATGGTCAATTTTATTGCTAATTAATGTTAAAAGGTGAATTTCTTAATCTGTGTGAAAACAAATAAAAAATCACTTATTGTGGACCGGAGGGCGTACTTCATTACAACTCTTGCCAGTTAGCCCTTTCTTTTAACTGTTCTAGCTCCTACAACTTTTGGAGCCATTTTCTTCATTAAATATAGTAGTATATTTTACTTAATAAATTTCAGTTGGCTTACATTGAGTTAGTAGAGAGCACCGACGAGGATCAGAGGAGAGCGAATAGAGAAAGATATAAGGAGGCTAGGAAGGAGGCGGAATTAGCGGTCACACAGGCTAAGACTGCTGCTTTTGGTCGGCTTTATGAGGAACTTGGGGGCAAAGGTGGGGATAAGAAGTTACTTCGGTTGGCCAAAGCGAGAGAAAAGAAGGCTCGAGACCTAGATCAAGTGAGGTGCATCAAAGACGAGGACGGTCGAGTATTGATGGAAGAGGTCCAGATTAGGCAAAGATGGCAGTCGTACTTTCATAAAATTCTGAATGAAGAGGGGGGTGGAAACATCATGTTAGGGCACTTGAGGCACTCCGAAAGTCACCGAGACTTTAGGTATTGTAGGCGCATTAAGGTTGAGGAGGTCGTGGGTGCGATGGGTAAGATGGTCGGGGCAAAGCGACCGGACCAGACGAAATTCCAGTAGAGTTTTGGAGATATGCGGGTAGAGCAGGCTTGGAGTGGCTGACTGAGTTGTTTAATGTTATCTTCAGGACAAAGAAGATGCCTGATGAGTGGCGGTAGAGTACAATGGTTCCGGTGTACAAGAACAAAGGGGATATCCAGAATTGTAACAGTAATAGGGGTATCAAGTTACTAAGTCATACCATGAAAGTGTGGGAGAGGATGGTAAAAGGGAAGATAAGGAGGGCAGTGTCTATATCGGAAAACTAGTTCGGATTCATGCCGTGTCGTTCTACTACGGAAGCTATCCACCTTATCAGGAGGTTGGTTGAACTATACAGTGATAGGAAGAGGGATTTGCATATGGTGTTTATTGACCTAGAGAAGGCGTATGACAAGATTCCTAGGGACGTCCTTTGGAGGTGTCTGGAGGTGAAAGGTGTGCTGGGGGCTTACATTAGGGCGATAAAGGATATGTATGATGGAGCTATGACTCGGGTTAGGACTATGAGGGGTGACTCAGAGCCTTTTCCGGTTGTTATGGGGTTACACCAAGGATCTGCGCTCAGCCCGTTCTTATTTGCTCTGGCGATGGACGCACTGACACACCATATCTAAGGAGAGGTGCCATGGTGTATGTTGTTTGCTGATGATACAGTTCTGATTGATGAGACGTGAGGTGGTGTGAATGGGAGACTAGAGGTATGGAAGCAGGTCCTGGAGTCCAAAGGTTTCAAGTTGAATAGGACTAAGACGGAATATGTGAAATGTAAGTTCGGCGACGTGGCGGGGGAAGCAGATGTGGAAGTCAGGCTTGACTCATAGGTCATCCTCAAGAGAGAAAGTTTTAAGTACTTAGGGTCAATTATCCAGGGAGATGGGGAGATCGACGGGGATGTTACGCACCGTATTGGGGTGGGGTGGATAAAATGGATGTTAGCGTCTGGAGTCCTGTGTGACAAGAATGTGCCACCGAAACTCAAAGGTAAGTTCTATAGAGCGGTGGTTAGACCGGCCATGATGTACGGGGCTGAGTGTTGGCCAGTCAAGAATTCACATATCCAGAAGATGAAAGTAGCAGAAATGAGGATGATGATATGGATGTTTAGGCACACTAGGCCGGATAAAATTAGGAATGAAGATATTCGGGAGAGGGTAGGCGTGGCTCTTGTGGACGACAAGATGCGGGAAGCGCGGCTTAGATGGTTCGGACACGTGCGGAGGAGAAGCCTAGATGCACCGATTAGGAGGTGTGAGCGGTTGACTTTAGCAGGTACGAGAAGAGGCAGAGGGCGTCCTAAGAAGTATTGGGGGGAGGTGATCAGGCAGGACATGGCGCAACTTCAGATTTTCGAGGACATGGATCTTGATAGGAACATGTGGAGGTCGAGCATTAGGGTGGTAGGCTAGGGGTAGTCGAGAGTTCTTCCCTCTTTATACCGGGTAGTCTGATAGAGTTTTGTTTAGGTTTGTTAGCGGTCTATGTTGTGTTCATATTGTTGTTTTGCATAGTTTTGTGTTATTGTCCTTTCACTTATTCGTTGTTGTTATTTTCTTTCTGGCACATTTTGCTGTTACATGCCTTTTCTTTTGTTTCTTTTATGATATTGTTGTCTCTCTTGTCGAGCCAAGAGTCTCCGGGAAACAACCTCTCTACCCTTTTCGGTGTAGGGTAAGGTCTGCGTACTCTCTACTCTCCCCAGACCCCACTAGTAAAATTTTACTGGGTATGTTGTTGTTGTTGTAAATTTCAGCTGGCTAGTGATAAACAGATCAAAATTTAATAAATAATAGATTTTTTAATTTATTTAAATATTATCAATTTTTATTTACAAGATAATTCAAACTCGTGATATTATGTGTTGGATTCTTATATCTAATCAAAGCCTCGAGAGCTAAACAGAATATTGTTTTGCTTTTGAGAGAAAACAAAACCAAAAAATGAGTAAATTTCACATTATATTTTTAATCTTTGAATTTAAATATTCACGTTACCTTCACCTATTATTAAAAACAAAAATAAAAAATTATTGTATATATAGCCGGCCAGATTTAATATTTTACTTTTTCTAGTAGGTATATATAGATTATTCATGAATCCGGATATAATCGAGTTTCAATACGAATACCGAGTGAGAAACCAAAAAAAAAATCTCCTATGTTGTAATTTGTTGATATACAGAGTGGTTCCAGCACATCAATAATAATGGAAAACGAAACATTCAAAATAGAAGAGAAAATCTTTCTTAAAGCCCAAATCATGGAAGATTGCTTGGACGGAGAAAGAAGAATATTATAGATATCTCCACACGTGGTTAAGTCATATAAATTTTCTTAAATTTTTTTATTACGGGTTCGATCGAATTCAATAGCATTTTTTTTTACAAAATTTATTGAATATGTAAAATTATTAATTTTGTACTAAATAACTAAAAGGGACTTAGAATTCCGAATCCCAATAATTTCAAATCTTGGCTTATTGATGCTTGGTGCCAATTGTTTTGAACATGTGATCGCACCTTGAGTTGATCATTGACATAGCTACAAATTTGCAAAGAATATTATGCCTATGATATGATCATAAATTATAGTATTAAATGGAATCCTTAATGCAAATCACGACAAGCTAATTATTTGTTTGCTGAATTAATGGCTTTATGGTGGGGAAAAACAAGAATTAATTTCTTTATAAATACTTTACAACACACTCAATGCACCTAGCTGTAGAAATCAATCTAAAATATGTGGCATTTATAAATTCCTCTTTCACTAAAATATGTTTAAACATTACTCCTTCCGTCTCATATTAAAAGTCGTGGTTACTAAAAATAGTTGTCTTAAATTATTTGTCATTTTAGAAGTTCAAGACAAAATTGATTGTTTTGTTTTCTTTTTTACCCTTAGTAATAATTGTTCTTGAATATGAAGATAACACATAAATAGAATAAATATTTAATAAAAGAGAGATTACATCTTAAGACATAAATAAGGGTAGAATAATCCATTCCCTTTTTTAATTAATATTTCTTAAGGGACGTATAAAAAAGAAATATGCAAAATAATATGAGACGGAGGGAGTACATCAATTTGTGAGTAGTGCTTCGTTTAGAGTAAAAAAAGTGAGCGAATAAGTATTTTTAATTGTTTTTGAAGTTAGAG